TAATAAAAGCAGCACAAGCAACTCCACACAGTTCAGTGGAAACACTCCCACCTAGCCAGAAGTGGGCTTCCATTTCAGGTTCTGTGCCCTGCTGGGGTTCCCACACGGGTGTGAGTAGCTGTGAGTAGCAGGTGTGCAGCCCAAGCTGCTCTGCAGGCACCAAAGGCAGCTGTAGGCAGCCATCAGCTAAGTACGGAAACTTTAACCACGCTGGTTTCCGACTTAACATACCACTTCCCAAGGTTCCTCACTGTCTGTTCTCTCCTTAAACACACTAGCTCTGAGCTCAAGGGACTGGTTCTGCAATGCAAGCTACCAACCTTTTAACCAGCTTCAACTAACTTTTACAAAGTACATGTTCAGCCCCCAAATTAAAGCTACTCTGAGAAGCTCACGGTCATACACGCATCAGAAACAGTAACTGGACTAACCCATTGTCAGTGAACAAGAATGGTTTTTAAAATAATTTTATCACCACTCAAGAAAGAGCTCACCTTCCCTAGGCTAGGACTTTAAATGTGCTGGCATCCCCAGGCCACAGCTGCTTCTGTGTTATACATAACCCTGTTGTAAATAATGCAATTATTCTGGAAGAACACCAGTTAACAAAACAAAATGTAACTCAATACTAATGAACTGAAGGCAGTAAAACTCCTTGTATTACAAAGCTGTGGCTTCCAGAGCAAATAAAACAAAATGGTGGTTTCCAAATCAATTTACTACTCACTTCAATAGCATAATGCAGGGCCGAGGAGGCTGGATGTAATGAGAGGTTCTCTAGTGGCTTAATATAGGGTTTCTCCCATCCTGAAGCCAAGGACCATTCAATTGTCAGCATATTATCAGTGAACACAGTTCCAAACACCAAACCATTGGGGTCTGGTTTTTCCTTGAACGTCGTAGCTGGGGTGATAATCAAGTCAGAAGCCTGAAGGAACACAGAGACAAAAATGGAAGTGTATCAAAATAATGAAGTCAGACTGATTTAAGATTATTCTGCATCAGTGAACAAGGACAAGCCTTAATATTTTCTCTGTAGGAATATTTAATGACATGATGGTTAAAGGCAACTAATCACTAAGTAGTTGGCAAAATATTCATAGAGTGCACACAAACATATACACAGTGCTATTATACAAGAATTAGTATGTTTTGAAATTCTGTTTAAGAATTAAGTTAAAGAAACAGTACAAAGTACAAAACCAGAAAATTAGCACATGAAATCTCTTGGACACTTAGGTTAACACTCCTGTACAAGTTCCAGAGACACCCAATTGCTGTTCCTCGGAATATCAGCTGATCATCAGCAATTAATCACCATCACAACTAGACAGATGTTACACTGAATTTCCTTTAATATATAAAACCAATGTGAGAGATCAGAGTCAGCAGTCAGCAGGTTACTTATGCCACAATAACTTGCTCATTCAAATACTTATTATCCTAGGAAGATCCTGTTATCAAAGAAGGCTAAATGCTTCCCTACACCAAGGACTGAGGAGACTCTTATAAGCCACAACTAGCTGCAAACACGTGCCACAGGGTTTTGTACTGGTTTTGGCTGGGATAGAGTTAATTTTCTTCATGATAGCTCCTATGGTGTGAATCATCCTAAAGAACAGCAGGGAAATAAGGAATGCAGATCTCTGGCAGTCACTCCCTTTTCATTCACAGGCAGGGGCTGAACAACCAGAGAGGGCTACAAAGCAGGCAGAGCCTTGATTCACCCTCTCCTTTCTCTTCCTAGGCTTCCTTCTGAGCATTTAAACTGTGCTGCTCAGAGGCAAGGGAGAGTTCAAAGAATCATATTCAAAGCTCCATTCTCCTTCCTAACGTAACTCAGAAAGCACTGGCCCTTACTGCAGACCCCCAGCTGAAATCCTGCTCCTCTGCCTTGAGTGCATATGGAATAGACTGGAACAGAGGTAGTCCAGAATACCGATCAAATAATTTGCAAAATTATTGTTTGATCTAAAAAAGTGCTACTGCAGGAGATCTCAGTGTCTTGACTTCTCACCGCTTACATGGGTTTTTCATAATGAGACAACATCAGTCCCAAGGTTTTGAAAAAGTGTACCACCATCTCTGTTAGGAAAGTAACCTAATTTTCAGGATGTCTTTGATGAACAAAGACCTGTTTCTTATTGATTAGTTGTTTTGGTTTAGGTTTGGTTGTGTTTTTTGTTTTGTTTTATTTTTTGCTTAATGGATTAGATGCGAAATTAACTTAGAGCAGGAGCACATGAATAGCTAAAAGCTTGTTTCAACTATCTCCAATTATAAGGCTTGTCTAGATATTACAGTGCATTAGTCTGGTTAAATTAATACATAATCTGATGAAACAACAATTACTCTTCTTAACTCTTCCCTTTATTTTTCTGACAGTGAATGCTCTAACGGGAGAAGCACCACCTAATGATGTTCTTAAACTAATTTTACCTGGCAACCTCTTAGCACTCTTATCAAGCTTTAGGGAAAAAAGGTATCACAGAGAAGTGGATCAGAATAAAAAACACATTATCATATGAAGCCTCTTAGAACTCCTATCAGTGTGCTGATTTCTGCTTTTATGACTCCCTTTGCTGCCTCCCCAGTGATGGTAGCACAACTACTTGAAAGGCATGACTTCAAAACAGTTTGATAAGTTTGCTGGGGTTAACAATAGCTTTTATTTAAAGATTGGGAAGAGTTTTAACCTCTTCTCATAAATCCACAAGCAGTGTAGAGGGGGCAGCAAGCTGAACAAGTGAAGAAACACACCCATTCCACTTCAGTTTGGGTCCCTTGAAGGCAGAAAGCCTGGACAGGTAGGAAACACTGTCCCTTATCCAGAAAAGAAGCAGACAATTCCCAGACCACAGAGCTTCCTGGAACTGCACAATCTGACCAGGGATCCCATTTGCTCTTTCGCACCTCCCTCAGAATTTGGGCAAACCAGCTTTCCTTCAGACACTGTGCCAACACCTGACTCAACAGTGCCAGGTACAGCACTTGACCCATAACAATTCCTTCAAAGAACAGTAGGAACAGCCTGGCTAAGCCCTTAGAGACAGGCTAAACTGCACAGACCAGTAGGGCAACAATCACTCAACAGGGCAAAAAAGACAATTTTTCTCACTCTTATAACCCTGTTAAGCTCTCTTGAGATCCACTTTTTCGGTCATTATTTTCTTAATATCCTTTCTTAGGACTCTATTCCTTTACCCATGATGTCTTTTTCTCCATTTTTTTACCAAGCAGGGCAAATTAGCAGTGTGCAACAGCACCCAAATCTTTCAGAATCTAAATGCTTTTTATGTCAAGACAGCATCAAATGCTGCAATTCATTTGGGTTTTTTTCTTCCTCCATGTTATCCATGGAGGATAACACATTGGGAAGAGGTTTTGGAGGATCATCCCTGGAGTACTCTCTCCCACGTGTGGGCTCAGCCTCTTCTGGGTCCTTGAGAAGTAGGACACCCCACACAACATCTCACCTAGTTCACAAACCCTTTGGGTTTCACTTGTTCAAGCAGCACCAGTAGGGAAATCAAACACTCAGAAGAACCCACAAAAGGCCAAGTGACAAATGCCAGGGTCCTATTAAGTATCAATGTCTATTATGTTAATATCACTCTTCAAAAAATTATCACAGTGCTACCCTGCTGTCACCTAAGACCTTTACAAACAGCAATTTACTTTCTTCCTTTGCCAACATTCCCCAAGCCCCAAAAGCAGCATGGTAAGGATGCATTAGGGATTGGCATTAGCTCCCTTATCTCCAGTGTTTCTACTGCCAACACAAAGGGGAATTTTCAGCTAGGCTTGTGTTTTGTTTGCTTTGTTTATCCAACATGTTCTCAAGCACCTCCTGATGCTGTTGCCTAATAAAACCATTAAACTGGAAGGAAAACTGGTAAACGCTGAACAAAAAGGATAAGGGAGATTTAGAAAAAGAAGTGGATGTAGCACATGGTCTAACTGAATGCAGTTATTTGGCACCTATTCTCTTAAGTAAAATGACACAGTCCCAAGCCTGCAAAGTCTCCTTGTTACAGCAGAAAGGGATGTAGAAGATGTCCCTCCAACATCCCTGCCCAGGACACTCTGGTAAGGAACAGGAAATATCAGACTGCCCTGCCTATGGCAGGCAAAAGGGAAACCAGTTGCATACTGTTGATTTTCATGGCTTATCTGGCAACATTACACCTACAAAGGGTCGCTGGCCCAAAGAGACCCTTTTTGAGAAGCCCCTCAGCTGAAAAGTGCCTGTTCATTCCAATGCAGTTTCTTCCAGGGCGAAGCTTTACCCAGCCCAAGTGAAGAAGACTTATTGTAATTATATGAAACTCAAATTCATCATTTGATCAAAACAGATCATCTCAGTTATGAGCTGGGTCAAATTAAAGGTGACACGCTGGTCTGTGTCAATTCTAATCAAGGCTGTGACAAGCCATCCTGGTGCCTGGCTGAGCTGTCACCTCAATGCTTGCTCCACCCAACCTGTGCAATAGCTTTAAGTGGATCTGGAGCCGACAGCAACCCCTGGCCAGAGCTGTTACTCTCCTTGCTGCATTCCTACCTTTCTTACCCTAGACAGCTGTCTCAGGTCGGTGCAGATGGCAAATGCAGATTTTGTCCTATGCTTTCTAGCAAGTTTTCTCAAAGCCTTCCCAAATGATCCTTGGCTGCAGTTGTTTGCACTGCACTGAAAATCCTAGACCATAAGCTGCACCAGGTCTAACTCATTCGACACCCAAATTTTTCTAAGCACTGTGCTAGGCCAGGCATTTCTATCCCTTAATTGAGTAAAATGAGATCTGACTGCCCCAGCTGTAAAATAACCCACAGGTCACCTAAAAACAGCGGCAAGTTTCAGCAGAGATCCCGAAAACATTAACATGAACCCAAGTGAGACTGACTGTAATCTCCTCTGATGAAACAAGTAACCTCCCTGACCTCCAGTCTAGGTGATTAATTCAAGACCACAAGCAACCGCAATAATTTTTTTCTTATGCTGAATTTGTAAGCATATCCTAGGAAAGATCAGGGCCTTCTCATGCAATAACAAACACAGAAGTACAGGCAACATCAAATAACTTGTTTTGCCCTTGCACTTGTGAACAGCAGTGGAACAAATCCTGAGAAGGAGACAGATTACAAAAAGCATACGGAATTACTATGATGGGGAAAGGTAACAAAGCATAGCTGAGGAGAGCTGGAGAGAATGAGTTTGGGCCTTTACAGAATTGTTTTGATCAGGCTCCAGGGATGAGAATTTCCTGCCTTTCAGTCCTTATGGCTGTGGCACCCTCACCTTTTTCAGCACTCAGCTTTCCAGCCACTCTTCCCCACACATGGGGCACTGCCTGGGGTTGTGAGTTGTGGCTGAGAGCCTGACAGGGCAGAGGTGGGAACCAAGCTTGTGCAGGTGTTCATGTCACTGGGTATCGGGAATGTTCATGGGACATTGAATGGATCTTGGTATTGAACACACTCAGGAGGCGACAGGACCAAACTTCATGGGCTAAGACAGTTTAATATCTGGGTGATATGGTTTAGGGGTTGCAGTGATAGTGCTGGATTGACAGTTGGATTCGATTATCTTCAAGTATCTTCCAACCTTGATGATTCTATGAATAAAGGAAAACAAAACAAAACCAAACAAGTGATGCAAAAGACCACAACGCCTCGCTACCAGCCACCTGATACCTGACCAGTGCAGGAAGAGCAGGAGCTTGTAGCTGTGCTGCTGAACAGACATGGGGAGTGGGCTATCCCCAGCAGGGCCAGCTGTCCCGGCTGTGTCCCCTTCCCAGCATCCTGCTCACTGGTGCCAGGGTGAGGAGCAGAAAAGGCCTTGGCACTATGCACTCAGCTGTGGTTCAAACACTGTTCTGGTCACAAATTCACAGCATGGCACCACACAAAGTTAACTTGATTGCTGGG